TCATTTCAATGGCTTGCTTTAATTCTTGGTGCATTTTAATATTAGCTCACCACCACCTCTCATGACCCTTCTAGCATTTTTTTTTTTTTTTCCAGTGGAAAAAGAGGACAGGCCACAGTGAACCCTTGTCTGTGCTGAAAAACTTTCCTTGTATTTATTTTCTATTCCAATCTGGCAACAAGCAGAATGTGGACGTAAATTCAGTGCCCACAAACTCAGCAACTCAGCCTCAGTCCACTGAAAGGCCTACCTTTTCCAGGATCCACAAATTCTGCTTTCTGAAAAATGAGAAATTTGTTGGAGTAGGGAAGGGGGAAAAAAAAAAGAAAAAAGAAAGAAAAGAAAAAGAAAAGTGTGCTCCAGGGTGCTCCGATTTTAAATCTATACTCAATAGAATAAAATCAAATAATACTAAGTAGATAAYATTAATAATGAAGCTGCATTCACTATCATACACCTTACTGCAAGGCTAAGAGAAGCTAGGATTTAAGTGTTAACATGTAGAGTCTCTAGCAAACATACACAGTGCTTGCAGTATTAAAATTCATTTTGTTCCAATTCCCCAGGGCCAAATGTTACTCCTCTCTGTGCTGCATGGATGGAGAGWGATGAAGTAAAACCAGGAAACGGAGCCTGAGCCAAAACATCAGCTGGGGAGATTGAGAAKGGTCATAAAGAGCTGAAGAAACAACTTACACAACATAAAGACTCTTGTGCCAAAGCCATCCRTGATGTGCAGGATGTGTATGCTACACAGATGGTCTGATGAAATAGAAAATACACACACGTTRCCTTGTGCTACCCTAAGCACAGGCACTTGGGAGGGTTACGCTGTTCAAAATGTGCAAAACAAACCCYATTATTCAAAAAATTTCATACTTACATGAGAGTGAACTTCAGCACGGGAACACATAACCAGCATCTCAGCTACAACACACTACTTAAATGCCATGTTTGTTATACATAATATAAACAAATGTTGCCATAAAACCATGAAGTGGAAGCAGCCACAAATTCTTCAGCATCTTCTTCACTGAGAGAAGCCATAAAAGTCTTCAGTGTCTTTTAAAATAGCAGATTTTTTTTCTCATAAACAGCCTTAATTTTAGCCTTCACCATAACCCTCAGCCTTCCTAGCTGCAAGGTTGCTTGGCACAGGGGCTGGATCATCTGTGTCACCTCCTCTTTACTTGCAAGAGAGAAACATTGATCACCKCAGTTGCCAACAGCAAATCCAGTTCGGTAGCTAGGTTAAAACAGCCAAAAAGAAAAGAAAAATGCACCTAAAGGCTTGGGAGAGCTGCAGCTCCCATGTGTGGGGCTGGTTGTCCTCAGGGCTCGCTGCATGCCATCACATCCCATTGCCTTGTGAAGCACCCAGTGCATGCAGCACCCCTCTTCTCCAGGGGCTGGATTCACCTCTGTCATAAACCTGTGAGATTTGACCAGCAATGAAGCAGCCTTGCTGCTTTGATGAATGATGCTGTGATGTATCGGCCTCTTCTTTTTCAGTGTGTAGTAAATTCCATCAGAAATCACAGACCAGTCCTCAGTCCTACCATAAACCCAGCCAAAAGTAACTATAAGGGTATTGCATGGTATTTTCCTTTTCTTGGTTTTTCTTTTCCTTCTTTTTTTAATGAATCATGGCTTGACATCCTTTCACACAATCTTTAATTTTCATAGTGGCCCATAACTGCTTTTGAAGCTTAACACTTTGCTACTCTGGTGGGAAAGACACATTTCCACACTCAGTCAGGGAACACATACTTTGGAAATAGCGTAATCTGAAATCCTTCCACTGCAAAAATCRGAATGACAACCAGGGGAATGCAAGACAATCTCGCTGGATGGTTTTTAAGCAGTGCAGAAGAAATTTCTGTGCTAACACTGCCCCCTCTTGCATGCAGGGTCCACACCCGGCTCCCAGGAAAATGCAGCTTTAAAAGGCAGGTGCAGTTTTCAGCACTGTTTGCATTACTTCATTCTCTTAGGCTTTTGTTGCAATGCAGCTCATTAAGGTGATAATTCACTTATGGTTAAGAAATAATTCTGAATTCCTCTCTCTTGCAGCACACAGAATATGTCAATCTTTATGTCTGTTGGGGAGCTAAGTAGGCTTTATTTTTTGCTATTACTTCTGTCAGCATCTTAACATCTTAAAGGAAAAATGAAGAGGAGAGAGAGGGTAAATGGGAAAAGAGGCAAGAGGCACAAAGGAAAAAAAAATAAGATGATGACTTTGCATCTTATTGCCACTTACCATGCAGCCTTATAATCAACTTAACACAAACTTCACAAACTTTTAGGTGCTTGGCCTATTAGATAGTAACTTCTTTAGGAATCAACAAAAGTTGCTTCTGACCTCCCAGTTACCAGCAGCTTTAGAAGCAGGACATAGTTCCACAAGCAGTATTTTGGTATTTAGGACCATAAAGTTATAGACACATCATATTATGAAAAGATGTAAACTGCTCCCCCTCCAAAGTGCATTTCCCTACTGTTGCCCAGATTTGGAGAAGGACAGTGAGAAAAAGGCAGCAGAGTAACTTATCCAGTCCTAGAGGGGCCTGAACTGGTGTAAAAGCATGTGGCTTGCTTTTATAAGCATAAATCACAAGAGCAGGTACGGAGCTTTTCCATAGTCCCAGTTTAGCACAACATTTCTATAGGAGCAGGGTTTTTGACTCCACCCTAGACATGCTGCTACTTTTCTCTATTTTCTCTTACTGACACCTGGTTATATTGGGAGGGTCCTTTGACTTTTAAAACTAATCAGATGGGAGATATAAAAGTCTTATCACATAATTATTTTTTGATGGAAAGTCCATCTTGTGGTGTGGTTTCCCCTCCATTTGACCTGCATCCGTTTCCTTGCCTCGGTCCTGAGCTGTTCTCTTATCAGCATAATGCCTTGATTTTACAGCTTCCTATTCTGTGACAACCTTTTACTTCTCTTTATCAATTTTACAATCTATTTCTACCACCAGTTATTAACATTCATATTCATGCAACTGTTAGGCATTAGTAATCAAGCACATAAATCATGAAGTTCTAAAACACATTCCCCTAACAAAGACTTGATTTTCATTACCACCATGGGCATTTCCAATGAGGTATAAAAAAAGAGGATGAAGTCATGAAAACCAGTTGCTTATTCTTATTCCCAGACGTCCTCTTATTGTTCAGTCCCTGCTCTCGTAAAGTCAGCTCTTCAGCTTTGCTCAAAGTTATTCTCATTAATAAAACTAATACGTGCAGATTATACTGATTAGTAAAACAAAGAACTACATTGCGGACATAAAGACTGTTCTTCAGACTTTCTATGAAAAGACTCAAAACCCATTTTTTTAAGCTTCCTTTAAGTGAATTGAAATATTTTTAGACAACAACCAACTGCAACACGAAGTACTTTAAAACAATGGTCCTCCTTTATGCATTAGGCAGAAAGGAATCTTGGCTCAAGACTAAGGTTAGCTGACTTTTTTTTTTGCTTATAATTTGTCTTTCTAGAAACTGGGATTACATATGCTTTTAAAAAAATACTGAAAAATAGCACATGAATTATGTTTTCTGTGCCTCATAATCCCTAGGGTTTCATTAAGTGACTGCATCTCCAGTACAGCTAGAAATGAAAAATTCAGAGATGACATAGATGGAAARGTCATTAACAAAACTAGGGAAATCCACCTGCAAATATCACTCCTTAAAGATCTTAAATAACAGCTACGTAAAAATACRTTCGTAAAAATACGAACAGGAGTTGCACAATGAATATTTAACTATTCAGTTACTCAGCTGACAAAATTTCTCTAGCCAAATGGTCTCTCTGTCCTTTTGTGATCTGAGATTGCGGGATTTCTTTCATGTTCCTACTTACCATAATTCTAGGAAATGTGGGAGTCTCATCTGGAACTGCTTACATCTTAATTACTGAATACTGTAGCTATATTCAGGTGCTTATTTGCTTTGCCTTGTTTTTATTTTCTGTTTTTTCTAAATATATGAGGCATAAACTGTAGCAATCTAATCAGTAGACTCAAGCAACATGAAACCCAAAAGCTTAAACAGACAACAGCACAATTTTTACAACTTCATTTTTGAGTTTCTCTGTATTCAAGAAACTACTTTGTAAGCCAAGATGTCTTTGTTTTGATAACACTTTACAGAATTGTTAGGACTTGAGACTGTAATTCTCCTTAAGCTACAAAAATTAAAACCAGACATTTTTTGACTACCCATATTGATGTGAAGCTGATCGTTCCTCACTGCTTACATTCCCATATTCTTCTTTTACTCTTTAGAGAAATGTATGTGAATGGTTGTGCCTTTTTCCTTCATGCAAGGTAGTTGGTGTGATGGCACTTGTAGGTCTTATACTAAATACTGAAACACAGCAAAATAYGAACAAAGAGATTTTGTGTTACATGAAGTAATGAGGAAAAAAGRTTCATGTGCCATTAGCCCAAGTTCTTCACGTATATCTTCAAAAGCATCAGCAAAAACAGAAAAAAAAATTATAAAATACAGATGTTAGAGTAATGCTACTATCTACAGAAACTGCAGACATTGAATGTGCTGAAGCTTGGGACTTCAGAGCTTCAGATAAGGCTGAAAGGGCATATCTACGATTGTCATACATCTTCCAGGTAAACACTGGTAGGTTTAGCCATATGGTATGGATATACAGGTCTACTTGTAGGTGTGTTAGGTTTATGCTATTATCACATCTATTCCTAGCTAAACTAATCCATCTTTGACAATAATTTTGACTTGAGTAAGAAAGACTCCAGTACCACCTATTTCCAATACCACTCTAAAAACAAGTTSATAAAGCATAACATTTTCCAAATAACAACAAATGAATTGCCTAGGAATAGTGCACCTTAATAAAGTGCACCTTCAGGAATTCCTGTTACAAAAAAAAGACTGTATTCTGCAGCGTCTCTAGCAGCAGAGACTAACAGGGCATAACACTGGACTTTAAGAACAGCCTAGACTGCTGTTATAAGTTTCTAATTCCTGAGAACATCAAAAGGAGTCCACAGCAGCAACGATGGGCAAGGGGAGGGCAGAGAAGGAGAAAGGAAGGACATACAATTCGGTAAGACATTGTAGATATTTGTGAACACCAAGGCAAAAATACCAAAAAAAAAGTGCATCAAAACAATCAGGCCTTCTTCATTAGGCTCACTACTTACATTAATATTGAACAAAGTTATGTTAATTCTTTAAAAGGGGACTACTTCCATAAAAGTGCCCAAGACTACTATGTGGAAGAAAGTTTATATATTTCTGTAATTTACAATATTGAGCTGTACAAAGGGTTCCGATTCGGATATTGTGTGAGATTACAAAAACRGAAGCTAGACTACATAGCAGTTAGAATAACATCCATGCTTCTCACATTCTCACTTGAGCTCCATAATCCAATGGAAAGTCAGGCAACTTATTTTCTTCTTTTTAAATAAAAAGTTCCAGATTTCATTACCAAACTCCTGCTTGCTGTTTATTATCCGCACCATGCTCAAAAAACATGAAATCCTGAGGAAGAAACAAAAGCAAAGTTAGTGTCTCACAGAGCTCTGTGGCCCTGTTTGTCTTGCAGGGCACTTTTCCTTCAAAAACCTATACGATGAGAGAGAGGGTGAGGATTCCCCTTCCCACTCTCCATCATTTGGGTCTCAACTATGGGCCACRGGACACCCACAGAGACAGAGGCAACCAAACCCCCACATGGAAACATCAAGTCACAGCTAGCAGAAGCTATACTTACTTTACTAGTATTCCTGTCCTGCTTGAGGCTGACCTGCCTCAGTCCCTCTTGCCTAATGCTGATCTGAGCTCCTCTAGTTTCACCAGTCACATAAACATGCTTGCCTCTATTAACGATTCATTAAGGAGTCTTTCTCCCCTTAATGAGGTTTCTCAATCTCATAAAATACAAACCAATTCTCAAATATCCTTAACATTTAATGCAGTATTTGATGAATAAAGTTAATAAACTTAAATATTTTTAAGTCCTTCCAAGGCCAGTTTTCCATACAAATTTAACAATACACTCTCCTTCACTTCAAGAAGCCCAGGGTTGCAYCTTTTAGCAGCTCAACTTGAACACAGAGTTGAAGAAATCAGTTCATGCTCAAGTGAATTATAGACTTACGATAAGGAAGCAAGCACCAATCATGACAGCTTTCATTTTTACATCAAGGTCCATTGGGAATGTGATGCCAAAATTGTCTGCATCTGTAAAGACTTCTTTCACAAATCCAGTCCATTGCTTAGAAATTCTCCCAACAGGTAAAGTTTCATCAATGGACTTCACCTAGTTTAGAATAAAATGAAACTTTCAGTCTGTACTTCATAATACTCCTTTCTATTTGAAAGATACAAATTGTGTTATTTGAATTAAAGCATTCTTATGTGGCATAGACATACTCCTAAATCTAAATCTGAATATATAATTGAATGCTTTAATAGTGTTGGAAAACAGTACACACACATATGGGCACATACACACTCAACTGGAAGCACTGTCTTTTAGTCAATAGAATAGATTACAGTTCCTTATGCTATACGTCAGGAACTGTTTAAATGAGAATTAAATCACATCTTACTGCTTCCAAAGCAGAGATTAGCCCTCTGTCAACATTATGTTACCTAAAGTTAATCCAGTGCTCTGAGCCAAGGTAAAGACTCTACATAAAATGCTATTAAATGCACTTTAGCAAGTGTTTGCAATGTTTAAAATACTAAGTGTTAGTGTGATGTGCCTGACAGCTAATTTAGTATCATTTTCATATACATTAATCACTACTATTTCTAAACGGAGCCAAACATTGTAACTCTAAATCACTGAAGTCTGTATTTTAGGTCATGCTAACATCGGTTTGTGTGTTAATTGACAGATTATTAAACAACTGACTGAGTGGTTGCAGAAAGTTATTTTAAAAAGCATGTGGTACAACAGAGATTAACATTTTGCTGTTGTTATGGACTAATATAATGATTCAGAAAAGATTTTGCTGCTACCTATACCAATTAAGAAATTTGGGCGCAGTTATTGGGAAACATTGTCACTGATGAGTGGATTTAAGCTGTCATTTCTGGAAATAAGACTTGTTTATCTAGAGTAATATAGCTAAGAAGCAATTTATTTATTTTAGCATTAAAGGCTTATATGTGCTACTAAATAGTAGCTGTTCAGCTGACAGGTGGATTAACTGGTTGCAAATATCAAACTACTATCTGAAAGAATATAAATACAGACAATTTCTAGCATTGCATACCTCAAAATTAATATCCTCACAGCAGCTGCAGACAACACAGGGGCCAATAATTTTCAGTATATCTGTTCTTTTCTCGTCTTGAATGGTAAACTTAGGCAGGCAGGGATGCCAGTTCTGGACAACATAACCCACTGGTGTTCCTGGCGGGGCCTGAACTTCCAGCTTCACAATGGAAAAAAAACAAAACAAAACAACAACAAACACACAAACCAGTTCACATCTTGATACACTTGTTGGGCAAAAAGCACATTCACACACCAACCACAATCTCTTTTCCATGGCAACCAACCACATAGCTGTACCTTTTTTTTTGTGAATTTCAGAAAACTACACATAAATGACAAATTTAAGATGCAATTTTTGACTTCAGAATGATTTAAGGAATTGCATCATACCACAGTTGTCAGCATTTTGCAAAACGCTTCAGTATGTGTCAGATTTTCAGCTTTCACAGCAGAATAGTAAAAACTATTCTGCTGTGAAAACGGGTTACTTCCCAAAAGCTTATGCCAAAGGGTCATTGCCAGTGTTGATTTCAGCACAAGCCACTCATTTCCTGAAGTGCTGATGAATCAACTTTTTCTATTTATTTTTTCTCACAATCAGAAGTGGCAAGAGTGAATCTAATCCTGCAGCATACACTGCCTTTCCCAAAACAGAGACTCTGTGAAAAAGTCTCACCTGTGTCTCTTCCCACTAACCTGACTTGTTCCRTCTCATCTCCCAATTTGAGAAAACCCCATTTTAGAACAGTAACTCACAGGAGGAAAGGATGTGAAAAGGAGCAGCTCACCTCCTGTAAGCAGCAAGGGAAACAGCATGAAGAACATCTGAGGGGTCTCTGCAAGTTTATCACCTCGTGCCCCAGATTGTCAAGAATGTGGATGTTGAATGGTCGTGATGGCCCACAACAGTTCCTGGTACAGAAGTCAGTGTCCTCCGCTGCGAAGTAAACTCTTTGCCCCAATGTATTCTTGATTTCATATTTGTTGTTTGTTTCAAAGCCAGTAATAACTGAAAATTAGTAATAGAAGGGTTAATTTCTGATGTCTGTCTGTGCAAACAACCAACAAAAAAATGACGTTAATTCCAGAGCTAACAGAATCAAGCCAGACTTCTTCCTGAAAATCTGCCAGAGACAGATATGGACAAAATGAAGCCAACATGAGCCTGGCAATACGGGAAGAGCACAGAGATGTTCCACCRCCCACCAGACATTCAAGCCAACTACCACTGCAAGTGAAACAATCCTGAGTAATACAGCTCAAAAGATTCTTGGGAAGAGAGAGAGAGAGATGAGATTTAAAGAAATTATTAAGTTTTGTGGTGAACAAAGGGGCTGCATACGTTCAATACGTTCAATATCAGAAGACTACAAAAAGCATAGGAGTCAAGAYAGCAACAAAAACAGAAAGCAACAAAAGCCAAGGTGCTGATTCTGATTAATTTCTCTCACAAATATTGCAGGCACTATAGCAAGGAAATATAGTAGATTTAGRTGTCAGTTGAGAAGATTTGTTTGCAGAAACACTGATAACATGACTTTGATATTCTTAAAGTAAGCAGAGATATGGAGCAAAAGGAAAGTGGCTCAAGTTCAAACAGCAAGACTGCCTGGAAAAAGGATAAGAACCRTATGCAAATTTATGGAAACATATGGAATAAGAGAGGACAGAAAAGATGATCTTCAAATAGGAAGACAGACATGTAGAAGATATATTAATAACACAGGAGACAATGACCTATGACAATGACCACGTATCTCTTAAAAGATGGAACAAGTTTAAAGTCATCTTCTACCATTCTGTTTTCTCCTTTCTTCTATTTCTCCACAAGTTTCTAAGGAGATTGAGATAGAAAAGGCAATAGGAAATAGAAATGGATATCCATAAAGAGCCGTGCCTTTAATAAGCGATATCAGAGGAAGTCTAAACGTTACTGTCCTTGTGATTACCAGATTTAAATGTTTCTTTCTATAAACACTTTTCACTTACTCTCAAGAAGTTCAATCTGCTGATGAATTAATATCTGGTCAATCTGGTTAAAACACAAAGCAAAATTAATAGTCAATGAGCTATAAATAAGAGAATTCTGGCTTTAAATTGTATTTTAATTGCAAAAATTTAAGAATTTTAAGAATTCTTTCCCCCATCCTTTAGAAGTCCTACATTCTGTCAATTTAACAGAGGAGTATTCCAGGACACTAAAGTAGAAGACAAAAGCCATATGCAGGGTGGAGTTGTTAAAGGACACAGGGCTTATTGCCATGGTGCTTCCAACACCTGTGAAGTCTCTCCAAAACACATACGGAGAACATTATGGAGAAAACTGAGCACCTCTAATGTGCTGCAAGTGCCCTTTTATTTATTTTTTAGATGCATACATACTACATGCAGCTTGCCAAACTGAACCACATCTCACATATAGCAGCTCTACCACACAGTAAAGAGCTATAACACTTYGCAGTGTGTAGGATGCCACTTGGCAAGAGAATACTCCATCAAGTGGTGCTATCTTAGAAAGCATTTCCATGCTCAAACTGCATTAACAGCACAACACCAGGCCTCAGGTAGCAGCCCCAAAGCAGTGACATTACTCAGCCATAACAACAGGCTGCTTTTAGCTTTTCCCAGCTGGGCCACAGGTACCTGGGTCAGGTATTCCAGGCCAGGGGGGCAGTAGAGAGGAGGAGGAGGGGCTGGCATCCAGATCACCCCTCCATTCCCAGGGGGCTGGTTCTGCACGGGGGGCACCGCCAGGCCAGGCGGCATTCCTACAGGGTAGACTCCTGCTCCTGGAGAGCCTGCGTAAATTAGGAGAGAAGCAGTTAGGCTAATTCAGACGTTAAAGTTGCACCACAGATCTTCATCAGATTCATTTGTTCGCTTTTTTGAATTATGAAGATCCTTGTATCTACAGTGTATTTCAGTTACAAACACTCCAGATTTCCTAAAGGATGGGACACTGGCCTGTAACATTCTCCTAATCCCTCCACAATAAAGCAAATGAGATCAATGTGCCACTGTTGCGCATAGCAGAAATGCCACGCAGATGAAGGGCAATTCCAAAGCTAAAAATGAAAAGTTGTTTGAAAATAATAGTGACAATTATTTAAAAGTAGAGAAGACCAAATACCTTCAAACGTGGGAAAAGTGGTAGCACTTGCAGTTAGATAGCTAAGCAGAACAGGAAAACTGTCTTAAAACTCATTTATTTACAAGGAAATGTCTTTTTAGAAAAGCTAATCTGCAGCTTTCATATCTAATGAATTTGGTTTATGTGCTTGTCCATTCGTTTAACGGATTCTCTTTCAACACTAAGGAAACGTGGTTCCTGCATGGAGGTGCACAGGAAAGAAAGAAACCATTCCTCATTTTTTGAAGTAAATCATCCCCATTTTGTGTGCCAGTTATTCCACAGGAGTAACAAATTCTTCAACAAGTACTTCAGCATTTAACTGCCACTAGATGGGGGCATAGGAGCGAGCAGTCATCAACCGAGCTACCCAGCCAGAGCAAGGTCCAACAACATTGCCTTTATTACAGAGACCCTTTATAATCTTTATAGACACCTCATGACAAGTTGCAAAAACTGACAATGAAAGTTCAAAGACACAAACTATGACATTAATTGCCTTCGCTGTAGGTAAATAGGACATCTAAGGCAATGCAGAGGAATTCTTTATTATAGCAGGCATGATAGAGAAGCAATAAGGMATATTTCTGTGGAGTTCTTCATACAAGGACAAAGAGTTGAAGAGATGCTGACCTGCACACTTGGTTGACATCAGGCAACTTGTCAAGCATTCAGAAGGCATTCATAAATTAAGGTAAAACATTTAAACTAAGAAGTAAACTAAAAAAGTGTAATCAATATTGCTTGAGGAACTCTAAGTGACCCATGCTATCTTTGATATTAAAGGATGACATTCGGTCAGTATTTTACCCACCTTGCATTTCTGTGAATCCGCTTATAATCACTCTGCAAAACAACATTTTAATTCATGTTTTTAGTATACATAGTTTAACACAAAAGTCATTTAAAGTTCTCTTTTACAGAGGATAAAAGAATACCATCTAAATTTGCATGGGGCAGCTAATAAAATACTATAAGTACATAATATTATAAATACATAATAAAATTATCAAGCACCTCAGCTTCCAAACTACATCTCCACCACTAAATAAGCCTGAACTCTCTCTACCTGCATCTATGCTTTGAGTACTGAGAATCATCCTCAAGTCAGGGGAAAGCATCAGTAAATTKTGAAGCAGCTGAGACACCATGCTACCCCATATTGATGCTTTCTTAATGATATTCCACTTTTGAAGCAGTAGCAGTAAGTGCCACTCATGCACTTTTTCTCTACACACCATAACTGGGCTTTCAGAGTGGCAATGCCATGAACAAAAATGCTCACCACTTGTCTTTTCTACTCTTCCAGGATTGCTAAAAGGAATTTTAAAAAAGTAGAAAGAACTTTTCGGATGCCAGCATCAATTTKGAGGCATACTATTTTTAGTTTCTGGGATTATTAGATAAACAAGTCAGTGGTAATAATATTTCCTAAAGAAATATTAAGGTCCAAAATATTTCAGAGATCCATAGGCAGCAGTATTAAAAAGAAGAATAAAGGGACTCTATAGAATAAAAACTTTAAAATMGCTGATAAACAGAATCATTCTTTTAAAAGAAGATAGTTAAGTTTTTGAAATAAATTGCAAAAACTTAAGAAATGTTATGGGTACTCATGTATAAACTATTTCCTGTAAAAGTTTTGGAGATTTCCAGTTATTGAAATTGTGCAACTCTTTGGCTAAGCTCCTCAATAGCATATATATGAAATGTTAGCCATCTATCAACAACAGAAACTAATAACATATTTTATCTGTTATGTTGCTTGCAACTAGTTCAGTTCAGTGATGATGTTCATTTAAAACTGGGAATTAAATTGAAACTGAAAATACTTCCTTCTTGCGTTTCACTCTGTGAATGAAAATTATTATTAAAGCAGGATGTTTAATGGTTCTGTAATGATATGGCACCTGGTTTGGTTTCTATCATGTAAACAACATCCTCTTTGGTTAATAAATTGATTTTAAAGGATTATTTTAATATATATATTTTTATTTCTGCCTTAGCATACTGTATTTACAAAGACACCATGCATATTTTATTGGATCCTGGTCCTCACAGAAGTATGGGTTGAAAAACAAAAGTAATGAGAAATAATTTAAGATTACACATCTAATTCAGAAAGGAAGAAAACCTGAACAAGGACATTTAGACTACATAATTTAAGTATTCTCACAGTTGACAATATAGAATGACAAGTTTAGTGTAGAATTATATTAAGGTAAGTTTACAAAGTTTACAAATGGGAACAAAATTTWAAAAAAAAATGTGACTTAAATGAGAAAAACATGAGTTAGCCTGTTTAGATCAAGAAGTTTCACTTACTAGCACTCCAGTAAAATATGAAGAATCACAGYTGCATCCTTCAGAAAACCTGGGAAACCAGTAAAAACAGAAGTAAAATTTAGAAAAGAGGGTTTACAGTAGCTCAGAATCATCACCCCTCTCCCACAACCACACAGAACCACACATATTTGCCTCTACTCTCTTCCCTTTTCTCCTCTGCCTACCTCCAACTCAGTTACCAGAAGTACTGTTACCAACAATATGCTGCTTTTCTTGTGCAATACAGAAAAAAACCCTGGAGTCCAAAGGAGGAGGAGCGAATGCTCATTTTTTCAGTCATTGCGTCACGCAGCATCTGTTGGGGGCAGGCTACTGCACGAGAGGAAGTTCCCGCTTTGTGTAACCTACAGCAAAGAAGAGATAAGCAGCCAAGCTATTCTCTTCAGAAATGTCCCAATCTCAACCGCCACAGCTATGCAAAGCAAGGCAATACCAGTAACTTGAAGCCTATGTTTTCATCTAACAGACRGCTCAGTAAAAAGAGACTTGACAAACTGCTAGGTCTTATTATTTCTAGTAGCAGCTTTTAATAAACATGAGGAATATCTCATCCCAGCTGGAGCGCCCATGGGCAGGCCAGGAAAGTGGAGAGCAGAGTTCCTGACGCTGACTCACCAGGGCTGCTCCAGGATCAGCAGGTGCTTTGCTGTAGGGTTACACATATGTCTGCACCCAGCCCTCAATCTACTCCCTTGAAGGCAGAACAGGCAAGAGATATTGTCTTTGCCCTGCAGAAAGGGACTTTTTGAGAATCATGCAGAAAGAAGCACTGAGGGCATTCGGGACAGTTGATGCAAAGCAGCTGTTTGTTAACTACAATTATTTAATAAAGTCTCTGAACCTTTGCAGGCCTCTCTGCTTCCTCCAGCACGCCAGCAAAACAAGCCTGGGAAAGGCAGCAACTTTCATCCTAAGCTGGACAGCTATCTGCATCTCGTGAAAACATAAATTAACCCTGCAGTGCCTTCCAAACCCAATTACCACAATGCAGCAAGGAAATCAAAAGCTAAAGAAACCGCACGCACTCAAGACCTGCTGTGGGCTAGCAAGCTGATGTGAACCTGAGACCCACAGGCTTCATTCATCATACTGCTCAGAAGAAAAAGGACTGACATTGAGAAGATGTGTTCTTCATATACTTTTGGTGCCTAAGGCTCTAATTGCCCTTTCTTCCTCATCCACAAGGTTCCTAACCTCTGCTCTTTGTGCTATTTCAGTRGCCTGAAGTCCACATGGGCACAAGGGCTGCTTCAGTGCAGAACATCACCGGGAGGCAATGGGAAGGACCCCCTCCCTCCCGAGRGACACGGATGTGCAGAGCATGGGGCTCTTCTCCCTCCAGCCAGGGTTCAGCCCCGGCACCTGCAAACAGCCAAAAACTTTTGGAYAGGAAACAGAGGAAATACCGACCCTAAAGCCAATCATTAAACAGTTCCAGTTCACAGAACAGCAAGGAAATCACATTTCTAAAATGCTGCCCTCCTCCACCTCTCTCTCTCTTTTTTTTTTTTTCCCCCCCCCCCTTTTCCCTCGCTGAGAAACAGTTTCGTTTTCCACGCAAGTCCCTAAATATAATCAAGAACAGGCTAGCATAATCAGCACAAGTCAGGCATCCTGTACAGGGTCATCTAAGTGCCAGCACATGCCACTTCCAAGAAGTGGTTTTGGATTTGGAAAACGGGCTTGGAAAGCCAAGTAGCTGCAAGGCACTTACAGCTCTAGATTTTGCTCCTGCACTTTGGGGAAGAGTCACCTTTGAAAAAAAAAAAAAAAAAGAAATCATGGAGTTAAACTGGTCTAACTGGTACTTGCTACTAACAGTTTTTCAAGGAAAAAGGAACTGAACTGTGGTTGGATGCAGTCGTTTTRCTCTGATGCAGGGTGACCACCCCCTCTGCCCTAAGGCCACCTCTCCTGTGACCTGAAGTCCCAACGCCTGAGAACAGGAATCCCAATCCAAAGCAAGCCAGGATGCAGGATCCCCATCTTCCCAGCGGCGAGGATGCCACTGCCGCCACTGCGCTCGGTGCAGCCCGGCACGGCTCGAAGCGCCGCCTCTGTCCTCCAAAACAAAGCGTTATTTTGGCACCACAACAAGTAGCTGTTGCCGAAGAGCCGCATTTTTAGCTCCATTCGCCGCTGCCGACGCAAGACACGCGCGCACGCACCTTTAGAGGTTCCTGAGCAGCGCAGGGAAGGACACCTCGAGCACGCGAGGAAGCAGCCCGCGCGCTCGCGGCCACAGCAGCCCAGCCTCGTTGCCCGTCCCCTCCTACGAGCTCCGGCTCCCGCGGCCGGGGCCGCCCCGAGGGGGCGGAGGAGCCGCCCGGGCCCGTCCCGCCCGCGGAGCCGGGAGCGGAGCCGGGAGCGGAGCGGAGCGCGGCCCCGCGCGCAGCCCCCGCCCCGAGCAGCCGCCCCTGGCGCTCCCGGGGCGCTGGAGCAGGAGGGCAAAGCGGGCCGGGGGCTTTGCGTCACCTATTGCCTTTTATATCTACCTTTATATATATACACACTAAACGGTATGGCCTCCCAGGGAAGGATAATCCTAAGCAAATATCTCCCATGATTTTTATAGCACCATCTTCTCCTAGCTGAAAAGCAGCTTCCACTCTGACCAAAAGGTTTGCTACAACAGCTGCTTTTCTTGGAAACATCTGGCAGTGAAAGAAAACACTGAATAGCCCATCAGGATAAGCACTATTTCTGAGGAACTGCCTGAAAACAGGTCAGCTGAGGAGAAGCTTGCCTGACTTCCTGTTCATTTTGATCTCTAATAATACCATGACATCAGTAAGAAATATTAGGCAGTGACTGGAGCAATACAGATGAAGTACAACAGACTTATGCTCCTTAAACGGTTTAAGTCTGAAAAGGTCCAAAGATTCTAAGGGTTCCCCATAGCTTCTAAAGCTTGTTTATTTTGAAAATGCTCTAAAAGGCTATTTCAAACACTAGTCATAGAAAAACAGACAATATCATACTGCAGAATCCAGACATATAGTATAGGAACTGGGTTTAGAACTGGGGGCACCTGCTAATTACTTAGTTTTTTTGTTAAGAAATTTAATCTTCTAAATTAGTCTAATAAGGACACACAACATTTTTACCTTCAAGGATAACTGCATACAAATACAGTCTTCAGGTGGTCCCAGATTTACTGTTCTTTCCTGTGTCCATAGAGGCTCCCTGGAGCTGCTCACCATCCTTGATAATGGTGGACCAGTCTAGTGGACTGGACAGGAGACACCTGAAGAAAAGGTCACCAGGGAGGTGTCAGCAAGTCTGTCTCACCTACCCACCTAGGGTGTTTGTCCCATGAGGTTCCACAGCCATCACGCACCTCCATGTTTGCAGTCTTCCACCTAATGCACATTGTAAGAGTTCAAAGAAAATAAGTTGGCAAAGGCTMATGTTACCTTTAAGTGAAATGTTCAGCCTCCCAGCACTAGAGTGCCACACATTTCAGTAGATATCATGATATGAATAATGCTCAAAGTGCTTCAGCTTCCTTCTGTAGCAACRTCAAGCCCTTAGAAGAACTTTCAATCACGTTGAGGCTGCTAGTGGCAAAGAGCAYGTTGTTTAGAGAGCCACAGTGTTTAACATTCATTCAGAAAGAAACCTAAATTCTATTGCCCAGCAAACATGATCTCTCGACATAGGGATGAATTTGTCATATTTGTATAAGGACAATTTCATCTTATCAGAGGAAAAAGAGATAACAGCATATCCCTTCCTTTTCCTTTCAGACATTTTTTTTCAGTACAAAGAAACGTGGCWTAAAGGGAAGACAGGAAAAACTCTGGCTTATCTATTCTCCTGCAGTGGCAGAAAGAAAATGCCATTTCTCTCACACAGTGCAAAGGAAAGTATCAGTCTTCATCAGCCTTTGCCATATCAAATAATACCTGACTTGTTTTCTTCTCCAGCAAAGTTCACCAGTACTATGACTGGCAGCCTGGACTTCTGTTACATGCATGGATAACTTGTTTTCTGCATTCAATCAGCAGATTTARTCAGTGCTGTAGGGAAATATTAGAAGGAAAGTCTGATGTGCTTTAAAAGTCAGAAAAGGACCATGCTTGCAGATTTTTTTGCTTAGGTTTATCATGTTTAACTGAACAGAAAGATTCTTAGGTCCATTTTCTAGGTATGTTGTAAAATTGCTTAATATTTAGGATTTTATGAACTGCTGATATTGCTTCCACCTTCTGCTCCTCCATATCCCCTACTTAAATCCATGGGTGCACCAGGGAGACCAGAAACTTGATCATGTCCCTTCCACCCCACTCCTCTATTCCTGAAACAGAAGACTCCAAATCACAGATTTGCTAAATTTTGTAGTGTTGATTAAAGCAGCTGGTTCTCTTCCTGCATAAGTATGAGTAAGCACCTCTATGCCTACCAGAGCTTAGATTGTTTGGTTTGAATAAAAAACACATGAGAAAACTTCCTTGTATGTATARTAGAAACTGATCGACTCCTATGACATTAAATACCCTTACAGATTGTACTGCAAAAAAGTTAATGTTTGCATGTCAGGGAGCATKCCCTGCTACAAGCGTGTTTGCCTTTCATGCCTACGCACACAACCACACAGAAATGCAATTCACTTCCCAAGAGCTTGCAAGATGGAAAGCAAACCAGGGCCAGAAAAGCAGGTGCCCTGGTGGATGGGAAAAAGAAATTGCAGGCAGTGCTTGTCCTTCTCTTCACATGCAGCAAAGACAGATGGCGTTAAATTTCAAATGCAAAATAAGGGGTGCTGTCAAGGAAAGCAAAAGTAAAATTCTCTTTTCTTTCTCTCTGCCTCCCTCTCATCAGGCACAGAAAGGTTCCTGTGCWAAAAATCAAGGCACTCTTACCCTTCTAGCATTTATGCTACTTATTGTACCTAAAGTAGTGTAAGTTTTTAAAGCAGACAGACAAAAAAATGAAAATTTTTACCTTTAGGTAAAATTCAAGTTCTAATAAGACATGACCAGACTAATAKCAGAACACCAC